CCAACTTGCTGGCGATGGCCCCTAACCTAATAGCGATGGCCTCCAACTTACTGGCGATGGCCTCCAACCTACGATGGCCCGCGATGGCCTCCAACTTACTGGCGATGGCCTCTAACCTACTAGCAATGGCCTCCAACCTACTAGCAATGGCCTCCAACCTAATAGCGACGGCCTCCAACCTAGCAGCGATGGCCTCCAACCTACTAGCGATGGCCTCCAACCTACCTGCCATGATGGCCACTAACCTAATGGAAATGGCCTCCAACCTAATAGCGATGGCCTCTAACCTAATAGCGATGGCCTCCAACTTACTGGTGAAGGCCTCTGACCTAATAGCAATGGCCTTCAACTTACTGGCGATGGCCTCTAACCTAATAGCGATGGCCTCCAACCTACTAGCGATGGCCTCTGACTTAACAGCGATGGCTTCTAACCTACTAGCAATGGCTTCCAGCCTAATAGCCAAGTTACTACTGAGTCTTCAACCCATGAGCGTTTGCCTTTCTCAGTGTGTCCCATTCTCGAGATCTTTATAACGTTCGGACACCGCGCCTCCGAGGGCAGCTCGCGCTGTGGCAGGAAGCCGGAGCGCTCAAAGCCGATGTCCACAAAAACACCGAAGGAGGCCACCGAGGTCCTCGGAAGAAGACGTGAAGACTCCAAGACTCAAAGACATGTGATGTTAACTTCTTCTTAAGGGAAATAATAGCTAGTAGTAACAAGTGCATTGCTAGTAGTAACAGGTGCCTTACTAGTAGTAACAAGAAGCTATTAGAATTAAATAAAAATAGCTTAGAATAGCTTCTTGTTACTACTAGTAAGGCACCTGTTACTACTAGCGATGCACTTGTTTCTACTAGCGAACCTTGTTACTACTAGTAGGGCACCTGTTACTACTAGCGTGGCACTTGTTTCTACTAGCTTTTTGTTAGTACTAGTACTTTGAAGTGAGAGATCTGGGCGTGACGGCGATGGACATGTGGGTTAGATGGGTCGTGATGAATCGGTGGATGGAAAACGGGAAAAAGCGGAGTAAATGGGAAAATGGTCAAAGGGTGAGATGATGTGAGATGACGCTACTAGAAACAAAGGGCATTACTGCTACGAAAGAACACCTTTTGTGAAGATCTAAAGTTTTCTGGTACTCCACAGTGACTGTTCGAGCAAGGAAGTGTTCCTTGCAAAGAACAAGTGATAAATGACTGTGGGGCTCCTGGCGAGCATCTATGCAATCATAACCAAGACACCTGCACTGTGTAGCTTCAATGTCAGGATCTCAAGGTTCCGTAAGATGAATGTGATAGTTTGTAGAGACCTTGAAATATCTCTATATAAGCTAAGAGTGTTTCGCTTCCTGCTACCACAGATCAAGTTTATCACCTTGCACAAATTCACATTTTTGCTTGTTTCCGCTTCCTTGAAACTGGCGTGCATCAGTGCACTTCAGGCAGAAAAGGTTCCTCCTCTCTCACTCTCTCTCTCTCTCTCTCTTCGAGAGCTGGAGTGACTTTTTGGTACGATATAACAATTTTGCAGTAATCTGTCGGTGACATTCAACAAGCAAAACAGGTGCGCCTCAGCTTCTAAAAACATGACACTTGAAAGGCACTTCTTCACTTTCAGCAACGTTGACTGGTTCAGCCAAGACACACGGTGCCCCGGTAGGGCGTACGGCCATCGCACTTCAACCGCTCCAAACGCTGCATGGGTGTCTCAGCACGGTCCAAGGCCAATCTCAGCCGTTGGTTGTCGAAGGTCTTACTGATGATGTAGACCTAGAAAGGCCAAGCATCAACGTCACTGCAAGAAAAACATATGGAGCATCAAAAAGGGCCTCGACAAACTTTGATGAATTGAACAAGAAAACCGAAGAAACAAACTGAGCACAGAAGAACAAACAAATTGCAAGATTTGGTTGCATCAAGCCGCCGTGAGAGGAGTCTCTACGCTTCCGAGATGCCGATCTTTGAGCTTCGTGGCCTCGATGCTTTAGCGGTGCTCCGTGAAAGACCACATGTGTGTTCCTTTTGTTCTTTTTACGGAGACCTAATAGGGATGGCCTCCAACCTATTAGCGATGGCCTCAGACTTCTTTTGTAAAAGTTGCTACTTTTTCTTCGTTCTGACCCTTCTTTCTTTTCTGAATTCCGTGGACCTTTTAACGGTGGGTTTGTGAGTTCTCCATCGAAGCAGTCTCGGGAAACATTGAGGTTCTTCCATGGCAGACGTGTCGTGTGTGAATCAAAAAGAACGTGTGGCATGTGGCAATGAGAAAGGCGATGCGTCAAGTTGAGTTTCTACTAGGAGCAAGGACGCTACGAACGGGGCTCCTGGGCTTCCCGGCTTCCCTATAAATCTAGAAACCAAATTCTTAGTGCGAGCTATCCCGTGTGCACTTACTAGAAGCTTAAGTATTGGAAGGTCAAAGGCCTTGAGGCCTGGACCCTTGGAAACACCACGCCCCCCAGTGTGTTCACAACATTCTACCCTTTCGTATGACCTCGGGGGTTGCATTTTGAAGAAGCACGAGCTATCCTGCGTCCAGCTACTAGAAGCTTGAGTAGCTAGGAGCGAACTTCTCCCTTACTTAATCAAGTGGATGCCTACTTAATTAAGCAGGAGCAGGTTCAAAAAATCCTCCCCTTTTCTCTTTCTTCTCTTACTTTTTTTTTTACCTTTCTACTTACATCGCTTCAACTGCTCCCTTGACGAGGCCGACCGACTTCAACTCGTGCCATGACACTGGCACCAAACCTTTTTGAGTTTGGCTGAGGGCAATCCTGAAACGTGGCGCAAAATGATGTGCCAGAATTTGACACAAACTAATACCTGGCAAGCCTTGCACTACCTGACAAAGTCTGCATTTTGCCAGTTGAAAACAATTGTGACCAAACATAGATCTTATTTCAATTCCCACATTTGTTGCATGGCTTAGGCTGGACGGTTCACATATTGATTCTTGGATCATTGGCCATAATCAGAAACGATCCCGAGAAGTGTCTGAACGAGGTGGTGTCACAATGCTTTCCCTTTGAACATATTGATCAAGGCCTCAGGGTTTTCGACTTGATCACCAAATGAGAGATTCAGCAAGATCCTTTTAAACCATCCCGAATTTGAAGCTCTTTTCGTGGAACATGGTAAGGTCTGATTTGGGGAGCCATAGAATGAAAGAAGTCGTTCCACATTCTTCGTTGAAACATGATGAGCATTTTAACCCAAAGCAATGAAGTGAAAGACTTTCTCATGAGAAGCCCATCATTGCACTCAAGTGTCACTGCACCGTAGTCCTTGACGCCCATCCTCAAAAGGGGCAAGGCATGGGCGTTTCGGAAACAACCAAGAAAGACAGTAGTGTAGGAAGTATTCTTGCAGGCTTGTAGGCATTGCAACAAAGGAGAAACACAGAAAAAGACAGGTCTCATGAAGAAGACACAAAAAAGACAAACTTTACAGCACATTGGCTGTTCCATGCTCTTCACGTATTTGATGCTGTCACGTTGAGGGATTCCTGTCACCTGCTCTGCTGGCCTTCGGGCACAGAGCTGGAGACATTTTCAGATATGTCATCTTTCGCGCAAGTTTCGTCGCGTTTCCGTTCGAACACCCGAAGAAGAAGCTACCTGACATGTAAAAAGGCTCAAGAACATCCAGCAGAACTTGATCCCCACCCACCTGCCAGAAGCGAAACGGACTCAAGTCGTACCCTTGAGCCGAGTGGCAGGATGCCCTGGTATGGCGTTACTCCATCAGCCCACAGCCGTTTCCAATTGATCTTTTCTGGGAGCATTTCCTTCGCGGAACGCAACTGCGGGAAAATGTGCTGGACCTCGCTTATACCACTCATACAGGCCACTGAAACATGCTGTCGACGAAGGCTTTCTCCACCAAACAGGAAGCACAGTGACGGGTCTTTTACATAGCTAAGAGAGATGGCCTCCAACCTAGTAGCGATGGCATTCACCCAGCTTCCTTCCACCTTCCCTTGAGCTTCGAGATGCCAAGTTCGCTCCAGTCAAGCGCTCTGAAGGGAGGACGGAGCTCCGAACTGGCGCTAGCTGACTCGGTGACTGTGATTCATGGACTCATCTCTTTGGTCTTCGCGTTTTTTACCTAATGATCCCGGACGCGGAGAGGTTGGGGCCTTTATGTTCACCAACACCAGTGGGTTTGCTGCCATTCTTCATGGGTGTAAACTCTGCCTTCCTACCCTCCAGATCTTCGCAACTCTGGTCAATCTCAAAGTCAAGGATCCTCAACCCAACTCAAACCCAAAGTCATGGATAGAGAGGCAAAGTGGCGAACCATGGCAAACCTTCGAAACCTTCGCCCACCCATTCCACAAGCATTCGACCTTGATAGCCCTGCAATGTGGACGTAGAGCTTTCGGTGACCAATTGCCGAAGGGCTCCTAGGTGTCTTTTGTTCAAAAGAAGCGGCCACATGAATCGCTCAAGTGTTACCTTCGTGAAGAAATGTACGGAGCCAAAAGACAGGCCTAACGGCCTAACTTGTTCCTAGTAGCTTCTTGTTACTACTAGTAAGGCACCTGTTACTACTAGTAAGGCACCTGT